GGTCCGATAGGTGCTCCATAGGGATCCCCACGGACACCCCACAGCCCTATGGACACCCCCTGGGGACCCCATAGACCCATGGGGACCCCATAGTCCTGCAGGGGCCCCACAGGGACCCCACGATCACCCTGTGGTCCTATAGGTGCTCCATAGGGATCCCCACGGACACCCCACAGCCCTGTGGACACCCCCTGGGGACCCCATAGACCCATGGGGATGCCACAGATGCCCCACAGCCATGTAGGGACCACATGGGGACCCCATGATCACCCCATGATCATCCTATGGTCCTATAGGCGCTCCACAGGGACCCCCACGGACACCCCACAACCCTATGGACACCCCCTGGGGACCCCACAGTCCTCTAGGGACTCCATGGACACCCCACAGCCATGTGGGGACCCCACAGGGACCCCATGATCACCCCACAATCACCCTATGGTCCTATAGGTGCTCCATAGGGACCCTCATGGACACCCCACAGCCCTATGGACACCCCCTGGGGACCCCATAGACCCATGGGGACCGCATAGCCCTGTAGGGACCCCACGGACACCCCACAGCCATGTAGGGACCCCACGGCTCTGTAGGCGCCCCGTAGCCCTGGGGGCACCCCATGAGCACCCCGTAGCTCTATAGGCACTGGACGGGCACCCTATAGCTCTACGGGCACCCCCTGGGCACCCCCAGGACAGAAACCCCAGACAACACAACTTTTTTTTTTTTTTTTTTTTAATATTTCATCAACTTTACAGGGTTACAATTGTCTTAAATATTCTGAAGTTTAAATACAATCTGTATAATAATGTTATTATAAAATGTAAACTTTCAGTGTTTTTATTTTATTTTATTTTATTTTTTTTTAATAATCAAAAGTTTCAATACCTGAATGTTTGCAAAACTGAAATATTTCACCGGGGGCCCGGGTGCGCCCAAGGCCGCCGCGCTCAGAGGTAGAATGTGGTTTTTATGCTTTTTTTTTGTCTTTTGTGTTTTTTTTTTTTTCGTTTTCGTTTTTCACCTGAGTTAAGCTCCGCACGCTGGGGAGGCGTCTGCAGCCGGGGCCGTTCCTTTTGCCTTTCCAAACCCCAGAGAAACTGATTTAGGCTT